TCTCCTGACATTTCCGTTGCCGCTGTGTTGGCATTCCTTACCGCGAAGGTGTCAGTAAGGTATGGCGATGTTGCCATGCCTTAATGGCTTTATTTCCTTCCAGCTTGGCTTAAGGGAGATCCTATTTTATGGTATGTTTGTTAAAAGCGAAAGTGGCACAAGTGTGTGCCCTCCTGAATAACCCCCCCCCCCCCGCCCCCTTACAAATTTACGAGCCAATTTCGCAAACTCATTTGGTTCACTTTTACGTTGATGAACTTTGCAAGCTGGGATTATGCCATGTAGGTCACGGAAGCTGAATGTGTAGAATTATTAATCGTGCTAGAATGACCAGTGTTTAACATTTTTCTGCTTACCGTCATGTCTGGACTTGTTCTGGGTTTCGTCCAGTTTTCAGTTGAATGGCTCCAGGTGGCTGTTTACCTTGGAGGGGGTGGGGCAGCTTCTCTGTTTGTCTTCACGTCATGATAATCAAGCACAGGGCCAGTCTCACCGCTAATCTTTTCAATAAACTTAGTTAAATTATGAAAATAAGACTGTTAAAATACACAGCTACATATTTTTGCCAACAGAAGGAAGAAGGCCAATTGAATTCCAACAGCCAGCACAGTTTCGTAATAGTTGTTACAACCTGTTCATATTTACATAGTCTGAATTTATTTTGTTGTTAAGTCTGGTCACGCAGGCTCTAATATTCAGGATTTGGAGTTCTCACGGCGGTGAATATGGCGATGGCTGACTTCTGAGGGTCCTGATTATGGACGCAGCAGGTACCTCTGAAACGTCGGTAAACTTCTACCATTAACTACTTTCTACTATTAACGTGGTCAAAGGTCACGTCAGGTCAGAGTAGGTGCAAAATGACACGTAGAACATTGAAGACGATGTACTCTCAGCAGGTGAGCTGAATGCAAATGGCAGCGTTTGAACGCCACAGAAACGCCACCAATAGCATCGCATTATTTTGTTTTATTATTTAGTGTTCTGTCTGACGACAGGTCCATATGAACAGGATCCTTCCATCCTTTTCTTGACTGGGACCTGTTCATATACGTTCTTGGCAGATGATCCAGAAGTGGTTTGCCATTGCCTTCTTCTGTGTGTGAATGGAGTAATTGTTGGGATGCCACGGAGGAAAACTCCGTGTTGCCTAGACCACGGCCTTGCCCAACACAAGTTATAAATTCGGGCACCGCCGGGAATCGAACCCGAGACCCCAGGATTACAAGGCCAGCGTTCTAACCGCTAGACCACCGTGACTATTCGCCGTCATTATACACAATAATAAATCACGTCCAGGCAACAATGAAAAAATAAGACGGATGAATGATTTGAGATTCTCACAGAAGTTAAGATAACGATGTTGGTTGTAACGCTGGACATATTTAAGCCCTTTCAGTTGTATTATTCTCTCTGTGAGGAGGTCTCCCAAGTCCAGGATTTTAGACGGTTTTCGTATGCATTTCTCTTGCCATAACACCTCTGAACTCGATGTTCCGCAGACAGACAGATCACGAGAAAGAAATTAGAAAGTCGGCGACAGTGGAAACTACATGGAAAACATTTTTACAAAATAAATAAACACGATAAGAAATAAGGAAATGTTCACGTGGTAGGGACAATTCAGTGTACAAAAATTACAGAAAGAATCTAGAAACAAATTGAAGATAAATTTGTACTGAAGGTGGCATTTAACTTCGGAAATTATTGAATGTTTTTTTAAATGGCGTTAGCTGCTGACAGGAATTGTTGTCCCGAGAGTAATTACATTGTTATAAAAATAATATTCAATCGTTTATCTAGACAGTGATATAAGATACGATGAGAAGCTTTATTACAAGATGTAGTCGCCAACAATGGTTCAAAATAACACACCGGACGTATAATGAATTTCTGAGTCGATCTCAGTAGTGGGACTTCCTTTCCCACAGAATCGTAACATTCATCTGGCTGTATTTATGACCATTAAAAATATATAACAATGTGAATAGTGTATCCAAGAGACGAAGGATTTGCTATTCCAAAAATACCATACACCATCAGGAATTAAACCCAGGCACTACTGAAACGGGACCTACGAGTTGTCTGACGTTGAGTGAGGAACAGTGATTGTTGCTGATTTAGAACAGGTGTCGAGAAGAATATTTGGGCTCAATAGCTCATGGAGGAGTTGCAAAGCGTGAAGGAAAGCGGCAACTCGGAAGACCAAGGCGTAGATGGGTGTTCACATGGGAGTAGAATAGCTGGGAATTTTATGGCTGGCAGAACGACTGTCAGTTTTGCGAGAAGGACTATTCTTCCTGGAATCAATTAATTATTCAGTCGTCGTCCTCTGCAAATTCAACATTCTGCATAGTTGAAACAAGTGTATTTACAGGTCACTATGATCGTGTTGGTGATAATTCTGGTTTGGAATGTAAGAGGGCTTAACCTTTCAGTATGTCTTTATGCGATCGAGGATTTTGTAGGTTGTTCAACGTCGTCGTCGTCTCTCGACAAAGTTAACTCTCACATTCAGAAACTCGGAAAGGGAACGTGTTTGTATTACTTCGACGCTGTAACTTCATATAGCTTTCTTCATGGATTATCTGTCTTTATTAACACGTTTTGAAACTACCCGGATGTTGATTTTAAATTTAATTTGTCATTTAGGGGTGTTTGGAACTTGTTTGATCTGTTTTATGTCTGCAGGAGTCACAGATGCGTCCTCCTCACCCATCACGTTCGTGTTCAACTACAAGCATGGGGAAATTCCAGGCCATCCGATTGGCTGTATCCGGCCCACCTAACCTAATCTTTGTTTTTCTTGTCTTCGAGCCAGACTCGAGGTGCTTCTTGTTACAGTAGGCAGAACAGATCAGTCTCGTATTTTACATTATTAGGGCGATGAAGTGAAATATATGGAGTATTATATTTGAGATGATAAATGCGTACAAAATTTTGCACAGTGTGAATTTTTTTTTCTTTCGAGGTAAAACGGAAGTTGAACCAAGATGTTGTACCTGTATTTTCTTAATAGTAGATTGGATGTTTGACTCTGCAATGCGTCTTTACGTATCGTGAATTATCTTCAAAAGAACGGAGGGCAAAGTTCCATATAACACTTTTTTTTTTGCAGATTTCTTGACTGCTGTGTTATGAATCGTCTATACTTGTCCTGAAAGATGACTGAATGCAGGGACTCATACATAGGAGTGCACTATATTTTCGTCTTTCAAACAACAAAAGAATTTGAAATAATTGTTCAAATTGACGGTTGCACTATGGAAATTGAAGGGTACGGGGGCTCAATTATCTGGTACTCGGTTGTATTCTGTTTTCTTTTATTGAGATGATTATGCTTATTACATAAGTAGGGAGGTTAAAGGAGCGGTGTATAATTATCTTGGAAGAGAAAAACCGACTGACAATGTTTGCTGCAGATTTGTAGACAGCAGATAAGGTGGGGAGTCTAAGCTGTGCATAAAACCTAACCTCTTATAACCGAATCAGGTACGTAAACTCCATTCCAGTCTAAAGGCGGCACAATACCTAGTTGTGAGATAATCTAAATACAGGACTTGGGTGTCTGAGAAAAAAATAAAACTTCAGAAGGAGACCGGTGTGGCATCGTAAATCGTACACACAAAGCAGTTTTTCCGCATGGTTCTTATTTCGTATGTTTTCTAGATTGTCGTAATCCTTTTAGCTGCCGCCGCCATGTTTGTGAACGTGTTTTTTTTAACCTTTCAAAGCCCAACTGTAATTATTACGTACCGCGTACTTTAACAATCTGTAACTCTTGTGTATTTGTATTTATGCGTTCCCTATGATTCTCACTGTAAACAGGGATTATGTCCTTAAGCGGAATCCACCAGTTGATCTCTGTATAGGTTAAGTGTAGTGTTTTCTTTGCGGTACGGACTGAATTCTTAAACATTAATTTGGACGAGCTTCGGTTCCAAAGGGTTAGTGACAAATGACGCGCGGTTTTGAGGACATTTTACCAGATAACTTCGTATTGGATTTAAGATGTATTATAAAGCGTGTAACACCTTTAAAATATCCTTTGTCTTTACGTGTTCGCACGAGGCTCAGATTTCTCGTTTATAATATTTTGCTGGTTTTATGTAAGACGTGGAAGCAAGGCTTTTGTCTTATCTTAATCCACTGTTTCCTTTCTTGTCTCTGTCAGTGCTGTTAAATCTGCTATTTCTCAACCTGCCACGTGGCCATATTAATTTTTATCTCAAGTAATATGGTTTTTTTTACCAGATGTGAACTGTGTTTGGGAGGCAACACTTTTAAAAATGTAGATCCCTTGTAATGTCCGTTCACTGAGTATAATGGTTGCTTAATATAGACCTTCCATTCCGGTGACTTACTGCTCCGCTGTTTTCCTCTTATTCAGCACCTCTTTGGAAACGCGCGTGCCATCTGGATACTGGGTAATGCATCTGACCCGGCCTGGATAAACTCATTTCGTGTCGTATATTGGCGTCGAGTTTATAAACATGGGACCTCTCAGCAGCGTCATTTTTATATGTCAGTTATGTTTTGTTATAGGATAAATGATTTTTCCTTTTTTTATATATTTTTATTCTGTTTTATAATAGCAACTCCTCGTTTAACACCGAGACGTTTGTTTTAAATGTGTCGTAAGACAAAACAAACATGTCCTATTATTATTATAATTATAAATAACCCCGAGTTAGTGTTTTGTTCACTTGCTAGTATTTATTTTGCTTATTTTTTAAGCGAAAACAGATTATTTTCTTAAACAGCGTGAATTAATGTATCTTCGTAATGGTAAAGTGAAGTGTTCTCTTTTCGGTACGGATTGGGTTATTAAGTATAATTTCGCGACCTTCGGCTTTGAGGAATTAATACGATCTGACGACCATTGGAATTAGGTGATGAGTGTTAAGATATTTTGTAAAAGCGAATAGTTGATGGTATTAGTTTATAAAATTGTACCGTATTGCTGTCTGAAGGCATTTCTCTTTGTTTCTTTGTTTCAGGGGAACACCTGCGCGTTTGTCCGCAAGGACTAACATGTTGCACAGAAGAAATGGAACATAACCTAAGTGCTCAAAGTCGACAGGAATTCGATCGTGCGGTTAAGGATACGCTCAACAAACTTGGAACACTTCTTAAACTAAGAGCACAGAGGTTTGATGGTAAGTTGTAATTAGTTGCAACAAGAATATGATAAATACATCAGTAAATACAGAAATCTTAATCATGTTAAAATTCTGTTTGATTGTATCAACTGAGATTTTGTGTTTTTCACGGCGACGAGTGAGAGAAGTCGTCGGTCTTCAAATTATCATCTGTTTAAGCAGTTTGACCGTTTTGAAAATAAGCTATATTGTCAGCTAATTTAAGATACATAAATGCGTAATCTGTGATAGTGAACAATGTTGTTAAAATTCATAAGACGGCAGTGCAAGAACTGTATGATAGTTGTGAAATTCGTAGAAAAAACCGGGCGAAGCCTCCAAAAGGCTATAATAAAATTGGCGTTGCGCGTTTTGTTTTCTTAGTCACAAGTAATTCTGTTGGTTTGTCTAAATCACATATGATTTTGTCGTCCCATTAGTCATAAAGCAAAAATAATGAGCTTTAAAACGCCCCAAGTAGAGCCTCTGGACTAGCGCAAATGATTGTAGCCTAACAGCCTTCGAGATGGCGTCCGCTGGCTTTAGCATGGAGAAAATCAATAAACTGAACAAACTTAAAACACGAAGCTCTTTGTATGACTGAAGTGTTTGTAGGTGCTTTGGATTCGCGAGAATTAAATTGCATTCAGTATTACACGAGTCATTCCGAAATGAAAACGCGTTTTCTTAATGGAATTACTTTATGTTATGTATTGTTTCTGGTCGTTTCCGATTTCCGCGTGGCTCAGGAACCCAAGATTCAAGAACGTACGTTTGCTTAAGCGGACAGTACTTCGTGTATCAATCCAGGGATAAAAACTAATTATACAAGGCTATTTAACCCTCTGAAGCGAAAGTTCCTCTAAATAATACCGTATTTCCTCGATTTGAAGATGCACTTTTTCATATTTTCAATTTTCTGAAATCGTCTTACATTTGATGGCGTCTAAGAATCGATTGGCGTCTAAGAATCGATATAGCGTCTAAGAATCGATTGACGTCTAAGAATCGATATAGCGTCATTTTCGTGAAGACCTATTACCAAATCAAGGGCGCGTCTTAAAGTCGAGGAAATACGGCATTTAAAAACTCAGTCCGTACCGCAAAGAAAACACAGTTCTTCGCCATCACAAAGATCAAGTGGTTGACGTGTTTTTTTAAGGAAATAATCCCTGTTTTCAGTGGGAATAGAAACCCGTAAATATGATATGTTGAAGCAGCTGGAACATTAATTACCATTGGATTTTAAAGGATTCACATTTTATTACTGAATGTCATAGTTCAGTGTTTACTACTTTGCTTCGTATTCCGGCAACCCTGAGTTCAAATGTCCGCCCGGAGACCAGTTATTTCGTTATTTTTGTCATCTCCTTCATTCAGACGCTGGATAATACAGAACATGAAGCCACGATCTCTTTCTTCCACAAACTTCCCGTATAATGTGACGCCATGTAATCTTAGTAGTTCCACAATGTTTATTAGAATTATCTTCATCGGAGAGATTTTTCTTATGTTTCGTAAGATTTGGAAGGTCTAGAAACACTAGAATAGGGAAAAATATATTGACGAGAAACCTTGTGATCTGATGGTTCGTCCACAATCTCTTCATTCCCAAGGGGTGAGAGGTGTCCAATTCAAGATTTGGAAATGACATTGGTCTTCTGACAACATCCCAAGGTCTTTGCTTATATTTTTCCTGTTTAATCTTATGTTTACATCACTTTAAAGAACGCTTTCTGTAGCAGTCTGACTACATGTATTGTAGTCTGTAGTCCATATTATATTGGGCAAGTTCAGTGTATGTCCGCCTTTTGGGTGAGAGCCTTGTCGAATGTTTGATGTTAACCAGTGTTTAGATACACAGGTGTTGGTAGGAGGAAGGTGTGGACTAGGTTCATCTGGATCAGACAACGTAAATAATAAACGTTTGTGTACCATAAATGGCTGAGAAAATCTGTCTCAGCGACTCTCAGTGTCTTAAGAAAGATCTGCTCCGTGAGTTAATTTTTGTTTTTTAAAATATTTCGTGTATTTGTACAAGGCTTCGTGCTTCAAGTTCCAGGATGGCTGTAAACGTTTATATTAATTGCTATGTCATGTCTTATGCCACTTTTCTTCTTACATCCAGCAAGTTCTCTCTCTCTCTCTCTCTCTCTCTCTCTCTCTCTCTCTCTCTCTCTCTCTCTCTCTCTCTCTCTCTCTCTCTCTCTCTCTCTCTCTCTCTCTCTGTGTGTGTGTGTGTGTGTGTGTGATTTTCAGCGTCCTCCGGGGGCGCAGTATTTGTCTGCCTTATGTTTAGTTTGTGTTCAGGATGTGTCAGGAGTTTGAGATACTACTTCAAACATGGTCTATTATTATCTCCCTGCTTCTTGTCTTGGTAACAAAGTACTAAAACTTAACACCCTTTAAAACTGTCACTGCGTACACACTGCGGTAAGTGGACCTAGGATAATATAGTAATTCATGTTACATTTTCTTGTCGAAATTTCCCCACGATACAGACAGGTTCTGTTACTTACAGAAGGAGTACAAGTCAATATTTGCCATTAAAAAGTTATATATGGTAATATATTCATGGGCATTTGCATACGTAATATTAACAATAATTTGGCCGACTCTGATCTGTGGAGTTTGCAACTAATGAGTTTCAACCATGCAGATGGCCTTGTGCATCACGCACATATCTACAGGGTGTGAGATACGAAAGGTAGAAGTAGACACCCCTATTGGTATTGCCAGGCGCTGACATGGTTACACTGTCTGTATTGATGACAAAACCAAAAATTTCTGGTTCCTTACAACATATACAGTAATTTCACTATAAATTGCACTGAAACAGAGAAAAACTATGGAAACCCATAGCAGTAACTGTAAACTAAGTGCTCTTAGATAAGTGTTTTTAGTATGGTTATTAGGATTGCCAAGAGCTGATGTTCATTCCACAGAATTTCACAACTGATCTATCAGCATAACCTGCCCTTGCATCACGTGACACAGCACATGTTTTTACCCTCAAGGTCATGTTTTCTTACAGCTGTACACCCCTAATCATCTTCCAGGTTGTTCTGTTCTTATCGTATTTCATCACACAAATGGAATAGCCTTTTTATTCAATGTTTGATCTTGATATAATTTTCTTTTAGGTTTCTTCAAAGAGTTGCTGGCAACATCAAAGCGGGAGTTCCACGACATGTTCAAGAGGACATATGGTATTATCTACGAGCAAAATTCATATGTCTTCACCGATTTATTTGAAGAATTGGAGCGCTACTATACTAAGGGCCAAGTTGACCTGGGAGAAGCAATGGAAACATTTTTCAGTACTCTGTACCAAAAAATGTTCACCGTCCTGAATGCTCAGTATGACTTCGATGAAAAGTAAGGACAAATATATGAAACTAGAGGGAGTGTAATGTAATATGTTAATGTGGAGCGTAATTAGGGTTGTAATATTTACATTATAGCTCTTGAATGGCCTGACTAGATTCACACATAGGCATTGGCCTTGTAGGATGTGATTCTTATACGTTGGGACTGAAATGTATGAATGTTTTAAGAAGTCAATTTATTTTATTGTCCAGATAATTAAAATCATTGCAAAATGCCCGAGATATATATTAAGGTAGCAATAGAAAGGGATGTAAGTAAGATTCTCCAGCTCTGTTATCTTAGCAATACAACATAAGTCTTACTAGAAGAGATGCGATGATGTGTACTCACCAGCCTACTCTAGGGCTCTTGAGTATGTCTGCAGAATTTTCTGTGACTGAATAGTTGAATCGAGGTATATTTGTCTAAGTTAGAACTGAACCACTTCGTTACATTGACAGATATCTCGGGTGTGTTGGTGAACATATGAAGGAACTAAAGCCATTCGGCGACGTTCCTCACAAATTGTCCGTTCAGTTGAAGCGATCTTTTGTGGCTACGCGGACATTTTCACAAGCGCTAAATGTGGCCACTGATGTTGTTACTAATATGGTAAAGGTAAGATGGCATTTTTTCTTATTTCCTTTGCTGCTTTGATGTGTGCACTACTTTAACCCCTGATTACTCTGATATTGTCAATTATCAATTAAGACATGATAAGGAAGTTTTTCCATTTGTAAAAATGTTGCCACAAGTTACAAGGTCTTAACGAGGGATTGTATGTGATTTAGGCTGTTAGGTGAGTATCAATTCGCTGTTTTCATGCTGATTTTTTGTGTACTAATTGTGGTTTTATTTTAATGCAGATCAATCCCAGTCCGGATTGTGTACGGGCACTTACAAAGATGACTGGCTGCCCAGCTTGTCAGGGACTTCCAGAGCTAAAGGCTTGCAGCAACTACTGCATTAATGTAATGAAAGGGTGTTTAGCCTACCAGGCAGAACTCGACGGAGACTGGAACAACTTTGTCGGTGGGGTGTTCATCATTTCACGTAGACTCATATGCGTTGCACTCAAAACAAATGTTACTTTCCACAAATATGATAACATTCTTGAAGTAGTTAAACATTTTGCTGCGTCTTGTGTGTCCGCTGCCATTTTTAGCATAAGGCGTAAAAAGAAACTTAATGAAGATCTCTAAGTATGTCAGGAGGCAGAGCATTTAAAGTGTGGTAGTGGGTTAAAGAATTTTGACAGCTAACCTTTTCTGATCCTGTGGGATCGTGCACATTTTAAACTTTCTATTTTTGATTCTCTTATTTACAGGGGCCATGCCACAAAAAATTCCGAGTGTTTATCTTAAGCAGTTTCTGAGATTTTAAGTGGGTGTGTTGCCACTTATAATTCAGTTAAATTTCTTTGTTTTATGAAGTATACTTTTCCACTTTTCTGTCTAAACTGATGGTGTTTTCTTTGTAGATGCAATGGAGAAGGTCACAGACAGGTTACTAGGTCCTTTCAATATTGAGATGGTGGTGGAACCCATTGATATCAAGATATCTGAAGCTATTATGAACTTCCAAGAGAATGGTCCTGAAGTTTCGCAGAGGGTATGTCTTTGCGAATTAAATTCTGAACACTTTATTGCAGTAATGACTAAGTAATGCACATGTCTTTAATGCACTTCAGTAAAAATGTACATTGAATGTTAACAGAAATTACTGTGATGTGTGTTTTATGAAAATTTCAGTCTCAGTGGGAATGCAGATTGTGGACAAATATATTTTCATGATATTGACTGGATTGAGGAGGCTTAATATCAGATTCTTTGGTGAGCTTTCATGTTGTTGACGTCGAGCTTTCGGCATATAGAACAAGGAGAGTTTATTAAACTGTTGAATTCATTTTTAATTCCCACAGAATGTATGTGTATGAAATTGTCATCTCAGAGTTGAAGCTGAACTCTACATTTTAGACATATATTGATTACTTGAATTCTAGTTCATACAGTAAAATGGAAATTTCAGGTTTAATATTTAGAGAGCATTTTACTGAAATGTATGGTGTTAGATTTAGATATATCCATATTCTTTTTTTATATAGGTGTTTAGTGGCTGCGGAAAACCTTTATTAGGTCGCAGGCGACGTGACACAACGGAATTGGAGTTCGAATCTTTGCAGTTTGGAAGATCTGAAGAAGATCAAAGTGGGCAAAGTAACTTTGTGCCTACTCTTGATAAGCTAGTCAAGGATATCAGGCAGAAGGTGCAGTGCAAGATTTATTGTTTTTGTAATGTAATGTAAATATAGGATATGATACATATAATAAAATATATAATTTTATATAATATAATGTCACAATATATGAGGAGAGAACTAAACAGTTGTTCATGCCCATAATTTTTTGATTGA